TCCAACCTGACCTGGAATGTTTCCGGGGATGGGGCATCCACCACCTCTCTGGGCAACCTGTGCCAGTGCTTCACCACCCCCAGCGTAAAAAATGTCTTCCTTATATCTAGTCTAAATCCCCCCCCCCTTTAGTTGGAAGCCATTCCCCCTTGTCCTGCTGCAACAGGCCCTGCTAAAAAGTCTGCCGCCATCTTTTTTATAAGCCCCCTTTAAGTACTGATAGGCCGCAAGAAGGTCTCCCCGAAGCCTTCTCTTCTCCAGGCTGAACAACCCCAACTCTCTCAGCTTGTCTTCATAGGAGAGGTGTTCCATCCCCCTGATCATTTTTGTGGCCCTCTTCTGGACCCGCTCCAACTAATATCATGCATATGCTTTATTTATTTAAGAGTTGTGTCAAGTACCCAATTTACATCATGGCAGCTACTTCACAGCACAACAAGAGCTTCAGTTGAATGAAACACTGCTATACAAATGTGATGAGGGATATCGTACCGCAGGAGGAAACACTACAGAAGAAGCAATGTGTCTAACACATGGGTGGTCCCTTACTCCAAACTGCACTAGTATGTAATGGGCTGGAAAATAATTCTGCTTGAAACGTGATTTATTCTACAAACGAACAAAAATTGACAAAAAGGCTTGTTTTATAAGCTGTTGGGGGTGGGTGGAAGCCTTCCTCAACTGGTTTTCACTGCTGTGTGTTTTCTTCCTAGAAATAACTTGCTCCTCTTTGAGTGCAATAGCACATGGAGGTTTCTATCCTGTGAAGAAAATCTATGAAGAGGGAGATGTAGTTCACTTTTTCTGTGAGGAAAATTACTCCATCAGTGAATTTGACCTAATTCAATGTTATTATTTTGGATGGCATCCAGACCCTCCAGTGTGTGAAGGTACCTTATTTTTACAGTTTTACTATGTCAAATTCTTAGTGAAATACTAGCACCTTCTTTCACAAAAGCTTTATGAATACAAAATAAAAATATGGTTTTTGTACCAGTTCACAGCCTAAATAGAAATCAAGTGGTAGCTGAAAGGCATGGAGCCAAGGTAGCAGGGAGGCAGGCAATGATAATTGGAATTAGTTTTCAGTGGTCTCTAACAACAGAGCAGATGCTGTCTCTTGCTGTTGTTTCTCTGAATCCTGGAGAAGCAGGAATCAACAATTACAGGGAAGTTGTTCAGCCTCTGAAGCTCAAGTTAAACCATGTTCAGATTACATGAAGGTTTAATCAATCATGTTTAATCCCGCCTTGTGAGGTGAGAACATGCCTCCTGAGAGACATTAAGAATAAAATTTGTAACAAGTTCCTCCAGAGCTTGGGGATTGTGGTACTTTGCCAAGTTTTACAGCCTCACCAAACTGTATAAGTTTTCAACAGAATTAACTAGAAGGATTATCCTGCGGACAGAAACACACCTTTAGCAATTTCTATCATTGGGGGATAATGGAGATTCTCAGAAAATAAACTTTCAAAAGAATGAAAGGTCTAGCAAACCAGATGAGATATAGTATACAGCAGAAAACAGTACAAATCAACACTTAGGCTAGCTGATAATTTATAATATTGTTCACTAAACCTTGATAGTTGTGGGTCATTGTCTTATCTGGATATTGTCCCCTTTATGAGGATTACTTCTGAGCTCTAGGAGATCTCACTGCCTCATGGTAACAAATTCTCTGCTTTATATACAAGGGATGCCAGGTGTTGATGAGAAAAGATGGGACAATCAATCTTTTTTTATTGGTTTAAGCTAAATCTATGGTATTCTTTTCTAATATATTTTACAGGAATTTTTCCCATGAAGTATGTTTTCTAAAGCAAATTTAATAATTGTTGTGTGGGTGGTGCTTGAGATTAAAAAAAATTATATTTAACCTTTAAAAAAATATAGATGTGTTAAGCACAGTTTTGGGTAAAATTAGTGTTGTGTAATTCCTTTATGGCTAATCTTGTAGAAGACTGTGTGATTGAGTACAAAGATGAAATTCATCTTCCTTTCCTAGAAGATACACTAGCATTTAAAATGCACTAGAATCTCTCAGTTAAATGGCATGTGTTAGGACCCCAGCCCTCTATTCATTCTGATGACACAGCAGGAATTTTTCTTGAGCAAGCGCAGAGAAGGTGGAGTGTTCAGGAGAATGAAAACATGGCCTAAATCTAGTTTTGAGGATACAGTAATCATGAACTTAATTTGGGGATAGGAAATGGGCTATGACTATTGCTGCTTCTGTAGCATTAGAATTAATACATAAGCTCCTTTTATACATTATATCAATGGAGCATACAGGAAATCTCTATTTCCTAAAGTCCTTTAAAGAACATTTTATTGAGTCTATGTGGAGAAATTACAAATTTGTTTATAGTAGTGCAATAACATAATACCTCTATTTTATATTTGTTGAATGTAAAATCACTTTTTTGTTCTGGTCTCCCATTTTGTTAAGAAAATGGGAGTAAGCAATTACTCTGGATCAACCAAAAACGTCTTTTGAGTGATAGGCTTGCATGCTGTATAGTAAAATTATTTGTATACATGGTTTTGATTAGTGAGAAAACAATATGCATTTTTTATTTTCAGATGTAAAAAATAAATGTCCTCCACCACCACTTCCTCCTCATACCCATATCATCACAGTTAGAAGAACATATCATAATGGAGACAAAGTTCATATACAGTGTCAAAATACCTTTGAAATAAGAGGATCTGAGGAAATCCAATGTGAAAAAGGAAAATGGACATCACCCCCTATTTGTATTGGTTAGTACTTTTGTGAAGACTGACAACTGAACAGAAACAATTCTTCAAACAATGCCTTAATTTTCTGGAGAACCTCAGTTTCCATATCTGCAAAACTGTTTATGTCCTCCTCTGTTAAAATGCTTGAGAGGTAAAGTGCTGCATAATTTGCAGACAATCCGTTGTTCGCAGATTAAAGAGAAAGGATGAGCTAGGTGAATTCAACTGACATCCCTGTGATGCAGTTCTCCCCTGGAATATTGTTTTTTATTACATCTTACAATGCATCAGTGTCTGTCTGTTTTGGTATTTGAAAATGAGTTATTTCTGAGAAAACTGGTTCTAGGTTTCTGCTATGGTTATAGGAACTATGAATAAATGGGAATCTGAGACACTACCGTCGCTCGAGACAGATGCAGCAGTAAGGGCAAGCAAAACATATCGCAATGAAGGTATGAGTAGGCGAACATTGCTTTTCTATTTAAAAGGGACTTCAATACTCTCCGATGCTGTTATAGGCATTTTATGACTACTCTTACTACTCTTTTGCTATAGTACAGTTCCCTTGCTCTTGAAAATGTTTGCATGTACTACAGATGTCAATGTAGGAGTCTGACTGAATGAATGAAAGGCCATTGTTGCTTATTTCTAGTGATTATAAACTACACATATAAGCCTGTACTGTATTTGTAATTTTATTTCATACGTTAGCATTTACCTTCAGTCATTTTGTACCCCTTCTGTTAATGTTGTCTGAACATGTAAATTCATGAGTATTTTGCTGACCCTTTGATTTAATAGTTCCAGTGAGGTTTCTTTTGTCTATTTTGAACCACACATGGGCTAAGCGTTTCAAGCAACAAAGAAAGACGGTCTCATCACAGAAAAAGAACTAATCTATAGTGAGTGTAAATCAGCAAGAGTCAAGAGTGGACATAGATGAGGATTGTAGAGGGAAATAGAATGCCTGTCTGCAATTCAGTAAGGCAAGTGGAGTTTCTGAAAACAAAGTGTGAAAAAGAAATTATATTGGTTTATATTTTATTTGTATGTAAATTTTTTGCTCAGTCTATTGCTAGTCTGATTCTTTTCCCAGTGTTAACATTGTTTTAAAGACCTAATTACCTATCTCCCTACCTCGTATTAGAAATGCAACAAAACTGTACCTCTCCACCTGTGATTGAAAATGGTGTTGTTCTTGGTCCATTATTGACAAGTTACAAAAATGGTTCCTCAGTAGAATATGGTTGTCAGCGTTACCATTTTTTGGATGGACCTAGTACTGTTTACTGCGAACAAGGAAACTGGACAGAACAACCAACTTGCTTAGGTAAGTCTTGTAAGAAAAAGAAAGTTTTGTCATATGTAATATAGAAAGGTAAAACTGGAAAGAACCTCTGGATAATCCTTTCATGACCACCTTTTCTCTTTCTTTTGAGTTAATAAAGATTCCAGAAACATGAGGATGAACCAAAATCAAATATACCTAGGCCACTCCTGTTAGGTGTCCTCTGGCCTGTTCTTACAAACACCCAATTAAATAGATTCCTCTTGTTTTCCTGAGTGAGCTATTCTAGAACACAGCTATCCCTGTATTTCTAACTTCTTTCTCCCATATTCTCTTCAGTGAATATTTCTTCCTGACTTTTAATAGATATTTAGAAGGATCTTCCTGACTTTTTACAGATATTTAGAAGGAATGACTGCAGCCATTGCCAAAATGGATTTTCATTTTTAAACCTTTAGCCTTTGTTTTTATTATGTGTCTTTATATCTATCATTTCATTCTGGACTTTCTAATTTTTCTGTGTTGCTCTTATGTATGCTGTTCAAAACAATGTATAGAACTTCCATGAGGAATTTACCAATACTAGCAGGGATACTACTTCTGATGATCTACAAAGAGTTGTTTGTTTATCTTTCCTTCCTTCCTAGGAAGGACGAATGAAATAATTCTATTTACTAGCATCCTTTGTTAAATTGACTCACTTTAAGTTTGTAATCTGTGAAAATGCAAATAAATAACTAGTTCAGTTTTAATTACTTATTTCTAAATGAATAAAATGTACCTTGTCTGGATTGAAAGGACCAGACCAGCATTCTTGGATCTGAATACTCAAATTTAACAAATCCTGTGAAATAATGAAAACTCATTTCCTATGAGTGTTATTTGTCTCCTAAGCATCCAAATAACCACATCATCCTTTCCATGTTTTCTGAGATTTCTTTTCAACCCTCACCTAATCAGATCAGAAAGACCACATACTGTAGTTAGTTTCGGGAAAATATCCATGCCGATTTGTTGTTATGGTGCTGTCATCAAAACGCAAAGTAACTGATTTCTCCCTGCCTTTCCCTCAGCAAAGCATTATAAGGGCCTCTGTCAGGCAATGATTCTCATGGAACTTGTAGAAATCTATTTTTATAACTGTCCCTCTGTCAGGCTTTATTGAAGTTGAACAGTGATTTCAAAAGTTAATGAGGTTAACTGTCTAATGGGAAGCTAGGCTACCTGATGTGATCCTGGCGCTAAATTTTAAGAAACCTGTCAGAAAGCAACCAAACCAATATTGACCTTAAATAACCTGAAAAAGCCCAAAGAAAGAACACAAAACTTCCAAAAGGTTTTTGGATGATCTTTAAATTCTTTTAACAGTGACAAAACAAAGAAAAAAGCAAAGAAAAGAGAATTGTCAAAAGACTTCCTTAGGTTAACAGTTTAAATTTACTGTGTATTAAGTACTACTATTCTCAAAGGGCTTACCAAACCTGTCAGCCAGGTTAATTTTGATGGATGGCTATTTTCATTATAAAAAGTCCTTTCAAGTTATACCAACGTTCTTTTCTTCAATGGTAAACCCAGGCTGCCATATGTTTACAAATAGTTGTAGAAACCAGATGTTATCAGAAGTGTGCTTTTTCTGTGATTTACTGTTCCCAGTTTAAGCTTTTTTTTGCACGTTATTTCTGTTACTTCAGCCCATTTCTTTACGTTTGCATTCTTTTTTTTATGCATCTATAGTTTTTTCTTACACAATTCAAAAACATTTTAGAATAGATTTAGATTTCTCTTTCTTGACTCTTACAAAAGGGAGCTAAGAAGTCACTTAGGGTTTCTTTTTATTGAAGTATGCTTTTATTTCCTAGAACCATGCATTCTTAATGTAACTAATATGAACAGCAACAACATAGAATTGAAATGGAGACAGGAAGAATTAATTTTTCTACATGGTGATCTCATAGAATTTGAATGTAAACAGGGATACAATTTTCTCCAGACTACCATTTTATCTCCTGGGAGGACACAGTGTAACCACGGCAGACTGAAATATCCGAAATGCATTATGCAAGGTAAAGCAATACTTTTTTATTGCCTTTTTTATTGCCTTTTTAATTAATCAATCTCAGACCTATTTAGAAAAAATTTGCTTTGGCAGTTCAGGCCTAGAATCTGTTGTAAATAATAGATGTTTAGGGTTCAACAATACAGATATGCACAGATATCCTTGCACAAGACAGCTATAAATACATGCAAGCGTGGAAAAACAATACACCTTCCTTTGATGGAGAAGGCTGTATAAAGAAGGGAGGAGCTCTCCTCCAAGCCCAGGGAACTCAAAGCTCTGTAGAAAGACAGCTGTAAACAATTAAATGCACACAAGGGATTTCTTATGGTTAGAAATAAGCAGGAGATTGCATTCTGATCTGAGACATAATGAAATAGTAAGAAAATACACTATCTGAAAGTTGATAGATACCTAGTGTTGACAGGCATTTAAAGCCGCTGATTTGTTAGTTTCTTAAGCTTAATGTTTCCCAAATATTTTTAATATTATTCCAGCCTCTACAGAAAAATGTGACTCTCCACCTTCTATTGCAAATGGAGCTCTTACCCTCCCACCCCTGACTCAGTATGACAGTGGTTCTTCAGTTCAGTATAGTTGCTCTGACTATCACTTTTTGCAAGGATCTGAGAGAATCTACTGTTCTGAAGGACAGTGGACTTCACCACCAGTTTGTATAGGTAGGTGTGATAAGACAAATAAGCACTTATTTCTCTCTATAATTCATAGAATCGTAGAATAATTTGGGTAGGAAGGGACCTTTAGAGGTCATCTAGTCCAACCCCCTGTCATAAGCAGGGACGTCTTCAACTAGATCAGGTTGCTCAGAGCCCCGTCCAACCTGACCTGGAATGATTCCAGGGATGGGGCATCCACCACCTCTCTGGGCAACCTGGGCCAGTGCTTCATCACCCTCAGTGTAAAACATTTCTTCCTTCTATCTAGTCTAAATCCCCCCCCCCTTTAAGTTGGAAGCCATTCCCCCTTGTCCTGTCACAACAGGCCCGGCTAAAAAGTCTGCCGCCATCTTTTTTATAAGCCCCCTTTAAGTACTGAAAGGCCGCAATAAGGTCTCCCCGAAGCCTTCTCTTCTCCAGGCTGAACAACCCCAACTCTCTCTAAATTCAGATACTTAGAATTTATAAATTGAGTATTGTCAACTAGAACTTTAGGATCTCAACTTCAGTTTTTTCAGTTAGAGATGAAAGTTTTAATAGAAGTAAATGTAAGCTTGTCTGGCTTTTTTTTTTTTCTTAAATATGACATGCCTGCAGTATCCAAAAATACAGTGATTTAATGTATAATATATTAATAAAATGGGAAAAAATCTACAGTTGTAGTGTAGACTAGTCAAAATGATGCTATTTCAAAAATGATCAATTTATTAACACTGATTAAGTCTCTCTTCTTTAGAGCCATGTATTTTGTCAAAAAATGAAATGGAGAAAAATAATGTGCTGCTGCAAGTGTTCTATGAGAATCAAGTTTACTTTTACCATGGGGATTATGTTGGATTTTACTGTAAACAGAACCATTCTGGAGCAGAATCTGGTACAACTTTATTTCAAGTGCAGTGTAAGAGAGGACAGCTGATGTATCCAAGATGTGTTGAAAGAGGAAAATAAGTATGGACTTCAGGAAAGCCTATAGAAAAGGTATGCACAAGTTCTTTAACTGGTATTAACAGCTGAATTAAGATGGCCTCATATTTTCAAGATCATTACAGTCAGCTTTGAGAAATGAGAATGCAGTGGCATTGTTGGGTCTGAGCTGAAGGAGGAGGGAAGTGAAAGTGCTTTGTGGTATGAGGACTGGGAATGCAGCAGAAGAATACAATATTGGCATATGCGTGGAAAATTTAGGATGAAGGAGTTTTGTAAGGCTTACAGGGATAAACTTGAGGATGCATCACAATCTGGAGGACTTGAGCAAAGTGCCGTGACGAGAAGATGCTGAGCAAGTAGTGCCCTTTGTGAGGATATTGGTGGTTTTGATAGCGTGAGTGCTTTTGTGACTACAGAATATAGCTAAATTGAGATTTAATTTCATGCCCTTCAATGTTGTGATGTTAAAAGATGTTAAACTCTAACTTTACAGAGAGAAAGGAGAGGCCTATTTTTTTGTACATCTTAACAGCACCCATTTCTCTTTTCACAGGTAAGAAGCCTCTAAAGGACAAGGCTTGAGGGAGAAGAAAAAAAAGCAAGTATTAAAAAAAAAAATTGTGTTTAATGGGTCTATGAAACCATTTAAAACCTAAAAATATGCGAATTCTACTCAGTCGTTAATTATTATTCTTAAAAACAAGTCAAGCAAGCATCTTTGTTTTGCTACTTGAGAGCATTTAAACTATTAAAATATCTAGTCCAACTACTTTGTATGATTTCCTGTGACACTTAAATATTGGTACTCTTGGGGCTCTGCATTTGAATGTGTTGTGGGACTGAAGATACGAAGAAAATTCAGGAATATAGACAATGTTTGCCTCGCATCCATTTCAGTATGTTTTAATAAAGTCACTGTAAGGGCGTCTTCTGTATTTTATTTCTAACCTCCATCTTTCTGTGATATCGTTGCATGTATGCTGTTCTGGTATGGTTTTCCAAGGCTTTTATGAGTAAATAAATGTGTGAGTGAATAAATAAAACAACAAAGAAATTAAAGCATTCAAGAAATAGACAAATTCTGCTTATTTAATCAAACACAGTCAACCATTTGGTGGGAAAAATGGTTGGTAAAAATAGCATTTACATGCTATTTACAATAGCATTCCAAAATGTTTTCGAAAGGTTAAATAGCCATTGCTTTGTAAAGCAGTATTTAAAAATGAAGACAAATAACAATGAGATTTAGCAATTTAATATAATGAACTTCTGATGTGTGACGTGTAGATCTGAACTAGATGTTCAGTATAGCTTTTATTTCTAGGTCATGTTATGAACAACGATTGTAATGTGAATTGGTGAGTCTCAGTTAAGAAATAATGTAAGAACTCGGTTAAACAAAATTATTGGTGATTAAGTTTTCAACCAGTAAATTTTTGTGTATTGAGCATTGTTACCTTAATAGCTGCCATCTAGGCTTGCTATGCATCCAGAAACTGTTTGTGCTGAGGCCAAAATACATAGAAATTCATCTCAGTCTCTGAGTTTTTACATCCTAATCATTCCTGTGGCTATGAAAGATAGAAGAAAAACTCTATTTGCCTTGAACATGAAGGGTGTTTACATGGTGGATTAGAACTGTAAACAAAATCTTGCAAGGCAACCATGACCATATCCGTAACACCACACAAAGTCAACATTACCTAGGTATTGGTATCAGAAAAAACAAAGTTGAATACAGATGTAACCAAAGTGGGATAAATGGGGAAAAAGTAATTCGGGGCAAGTTGTTCATTTGGAAGGAGACCGGGGTGGAGAAAGGGAAATACAAGCATGGTGAAAAGAGGATCAATAAACAAGAAAAAGGGTAATAAGGCCTGCACATGATATAATTGATACTCGCCAGGTGTACCAGTCAAGCAGCTCTGCGCTTGATCACCTTAGCTTAGATCAGGCCAAAACCCCAAATCTGTAGTCTTGACCATACCACGGAGATCAAACCTGTTTCCGTGGTCTGGAAGACCCGTTCAGGACAGGGAGAGATGGCACATTCTCTGGCTAGCAGGGAGAAACACCTGAGACAAACGGATGGAGCATCCACATATCACTGTGTTGGTGCCCGTTCCAGGCCCAATGGCATCAGCATCTTCCCAGTTGCTTCCCAATACCAGTCTGTGCCAGTGTATTTAATTCTTTTGTTCTTCCTGCCCTCCCCCCCCCCCAGCATGTTCAGGACAGCATCCAGGTATTTTCTCTGGTAAAGAGAATGTAGATTTCTTTAATTTTTGCATTAATTATTTGAAAACAAACTTGTTGCTTGCAATTTGAAACCTGGGGCTATGTTATTTCTGTTAATTAGCACAGCAGAATTAAGTGAAAGAAAATGAGAGCTACAGCTTGGGTTTCAAAATCTGAAAAAGCTCAGAAATATCTGTATGAAATCTTGAAAAAGAAAGATTTATAACATGAACATTACAAAACCAACTGAACACAGAATTCTTACAGAAGTTAATGAAGACACAAGAAGTGACCAAGTTGCTTTTTGGAAGGTAATGAAACTTTTTGTTAATGACTCCTTTCCACTACCTTAATTTTCCCAGAATATATTCATGCAAATGTGGCTAGGCAGTGTGGGAAGACATAGATCAGCTACACGCACTGCTGTGGTAGCAGAGAAGCTGCTGCAGGCACACAGCTCAGGCATGCTGTTGTCCTAGTGTGGGTGGGATGCTGAAAGCACATCTGTCAAAACGCTGTGCTTAGTGTATGTGGAATATACAGTGCGAATGAGGCTCAGTGACGTACAGGCCCAGGAGTGTTTCTGACCTCCTAAGTGTATTTGGAAGCAGAGAAAGAATTTTTATCTTTGACATTATTTGCTTAGACTTACCAAACCATGGCACTGGAATAACTTTTAAAATAACCATCAACATACCAAGGACCTCAATTTAACCCTTTAACAGTCCTGAATTTTTGCTGGCTTTCTGCATGGTTAGGTATAGAATTGCAGAATAAGAATCAGGTTGCTCAGGACCCTGTCTGGCTGAGGTTTTTAAGATCTCCAAGGAGATATTTTTCTAACCTTTCTGAGCAACCTGTTCCAATGTCTGTCTATCCTCATGGTCAATCTTATTTCCTAATATCTGACTGGAACTTCTTTTGCTGCAGATTTTTGTCTGTTGTCTTTCATCCTGTCACTGTACATCTCTGAGAAGAGTATGGCTCCATCTTCTCTGTGTTCTCCCATTGGGAAGCCAAAACCAGAAATAAGGTCTCCTCCCAGCCTTCTCTTGTTAAGAAGAAACATTCAGAAAAGAATGGGGTTTTTTTGGTTGTGTGAGGCATGATAAAATAATTATTTTTGTTTCTGTTGGTGTCTTTCCTTGTGTAGCAGAGCCTTCCAATAGCATCAGAATGGCAGTAGATCTCAGCTCTGTCATTTCATGGTGATAGTGCTCACTTGGGAGTAGGTACATGATATGATAACATTTCTGCACCAAGTTTGGCTTGTGCAAATTTTTTCAAGATCAGCCTTTTATTTGTTATCATAGAATCACAGAATAGTTTGGGTTGGAAGGGACCTCTAAAGGTCATCTAGTCCAACCCCCCTGCCGTGGGCAGGGACATCTTCAACTAGATCAGGTTGCTCAGAGCCCCGTCCAACCTGGCCTGGAATGTTTCCAGGGATGGGGCATCCACCACCTCTCTGGGCAACCTGTGCCAGTGCTCCACCACCCTCAGCATAAAAAATTTCTTCCTTATATCCAATCTAAATCCACCCTCTTTCAGTTTAAAACCATTGTTCTGTCACAACAGAGAGGCCTTTCCTCTTGCCTAACAACCTTGCGTTTATCCATTTTTTGCAAACATCAGCTGAAAAGGCATTCAGATTTATTTACAGATTGTAATTTCTGTTTTCCAGTTAAGTTCTTGCCTCCATGGTACATAATTGAGGAAACTGACTTTTGTCTGGATATAAAATTACAGATCAGGGCAATTCCTGTAACAGGCAAAGTTTTGGGTGCTGTATGTGCTGATTCAGACTGGCACATTTTAACCAAGGTGAACCTATGTCCCAGTGAAGTTTCAACAACTTATATTGGCTTTAAAACGTTTCATGTAGTGAAGCTGATGGGCCTGTTGCCCAGACCTGTTGCCTTTGAGGAGCTCTGGATAAAGCATAAGAATATTTGGTAAATGTAAAAAGACGCTTCTCTTTAAAGAGCAGAACTGGGGAAAATGGAGGGAGATTAAAAGTCAGTCTCCGGAACATTTGTTGGAAGTAGAATTCGGGGCAATTTCCTATGTGTTAATAAGTGGTGATTTACTCTCTGAAGTCCTGACATGAAATTGCTGGGTTTTAAATTCAGTCAGGTATCATGGGCCTCCAATAAAATGCCTGATATCAGAACGGGAAGATGGTTGTCTTGGGGAATTTTGGGTAAAGTGGATACAAGAGCAGTACCACACCACTCAGTGGCATATAATTTAATTTTTTTTTTTTTTACTAAGCAGCAGGTTTGGTAAAGCAAGAGGATAGTAATTTCTACTGTAAGCTTTCTGTTCTATGACACCGACAAGTCAAAGGCCCTGCTCTTCTGGTCCATGTTAAACCAACACCATGGTCCCAGGAGAACGGGCCAGCACTCCAACCAGTCAGTATGTCGGGTGCTGGCTTCTGGCTGCCCCTACCCACAGTGGATTCAATCTTCTACACAGTGCTGGACATTTGTGTATGTATTCCCTTTCCCTTGTCCTGAGAAGATATCATTTTCACTGTGAATTAGATTGTTGGCATAACCTGCTAGTGGCCTCTCTAATCATGTAGACCCAAGCTACTTGATTTTATCTGCATGTGAGTCCTAGTAAAGATTGTCACCAGAATCTCTGTGAACCTCTGGTCTCCCACCCCCAGCGTGTTACAAAATGTGTGAAGTTGGCAAATGTGAAAGAGGAAAGCTTGTCTGCTGCTGCTTTGTTACCCAGCTCATATCAGAGTCATCTAATTGGAGCTGGGCAAAAGCAGTCAGGTTCTCACTTACCTGAGCAATGATTTCAGGCAGGCTTCAGCCCGTGGCACTAGTGCAGAAGGCTGGTCTTGCTGAGCATCCTGCTATATTAAGACAAAGCCAAAGTGATTGTATGCAGCGAGTATAGTCGTCTTTTACCTTGGTGTGGAGATCAGATCTTTTAAACAGTGCCTGCATTTTCTCAGGTGAATATAAGGAAACATGATCTTGACTAGGAAGAACACTTTCTTTTGTCTTTTTATTTAAAAAAAAGAAAGAAAGAAATCTACATGTCATGTAATAAAAATTATGCAACCATTTTGGAGCTGACTTATTGGAAACTGCTGCCTGATCAGGAATCGCTATTTGCAAAAGGTAACTAGGTGTTTTCCAGTTACAAATGAGGCTAAAAGTTAATGACCTATACAGATCTGTAAAAGTTAATGACCTATAAAAAGGGCCAGGAATGGTGGCAGACAAGGTGGAAATTAATTTTCTTTTAGTTCACCATTTTTGTTCTTCTTAGTGGTATACTAAAAGGAAAAATTCCTGAGTGAGAGACCAGTCCTTCTGAAGCACAGGACGATTAGAAGGTGAGGAAGAAGTGAGCCAGAAAGATTGGACTCAGAGTGAAATCCAGAAAGCTTTGTTATATGCTGTTTGTGGGGTTCATTGTTTTATGTTGCAAACCTGCCAGGACTCCGTAAATGACACTTAGTGCTTAGAGTCATGTTGGACTCGTATGTAAGAATCTAAAATACAAATAAATGTTAGCTGCCTCTAGAAATATTAGTCACATGTTTATATTTCTGGTTTTCTCTAAGGAATGTGCTTAGTTCCTTAAAAAAATGGTTAATACAGGTGTTAGTATTGGACATTTGTCACTGAGACTTTTGTGGACTTTTAGAAAAAAGCCTTTCTGCAAGGCGCTTTGAAGTTCTGCCAGTTGTATGAAATGGCATATCAACAATGATGAAATTCATTTAATGTATATAGTAACACCAATACCTGTTGGTCCTCAGATGGATGCTATCCTTCAGTATACAAAACAATGCCACGTGTGTTTTTGAAGGGAGAAAAAAACAACTCAAAGTCGATTGCTGTGTTAGCTAATCCTGTATTTCACAACAGCTCCTAGCAGCAAGCGCATTGGAAGAAAAAAATGAGCATGTCCTAAAAAAGAAGATTGTGTAAGAAACGCCACAGAACATAACCTTGAAAATAACCTTAGTATTGTCACGTGAGGGTGGAGCTTGGTTCAGCCAACGTTGTCCTGCTGGCGTAGCCCAATAAATATGATTTTTGCCATTGCTAATAAAAGAACACAGGCTCTGCATTGGCCTGTCAGTGCAGGATCTCTGGGCTTGCCTGGGTTTTTCTTGAGCTGGTTTTAGATTGTTTAGCTGTGGTAGCAGTTGTTTAGCAATCACCCCGTTGGCTGCCTAAATGTGTTTTAGTTCAGCTCTAATTCATACTGGTAAGAAGCAGTTACTGAGCTGTCTATGACCCCAGACTAAAATGTGGTGTGGGAAAGGAGAATGTGGGATGAGATGAGGATGAACAGAGGTCAAAGACTGTAAAAACAAAGCACAGTGGTCAAGCGGCAGCCCCAGCAGAAGTGCAACTTGTTCTTGTCCAGGTAAACCCAACATTAGCGAACAGAGACGCTGAATAACCGGGATCCAAAACAGTGGACTGTATTAAGAAAATGCATACATGTAAACACAAGGAGACCTCAGCACTTAGGAGGAAGGGACCCCTGCTACTTGCGTTGAACTCTTCCCAACAAAAATCTTCGTACACTGATGGTTCGCTGTGGCGTTCCCCTCCTGTCTTGCTAGCCTCCTTGAGAAAGACTGGTGCTATCAGCCAGAGGAACAGGGGAAGGATGAGTGTAACGCCAGAGGAAATGGTTAGGTAGTAGGACAGTTTTTTCTGTAAAACACTTTTTTTAAAAAAAATTTGCATTACTGCAGCTTTCTTGCATTAATTTAGACTATGAACGTTAGCATTATTGGAAGTGGACTAACGATAACTTAGTATTTTTACTAGGCTGTTGGGATTTTAAGCAGGCTGAAAATAAATTATGGGCTCCACATATAAGGTGGTCTTGCCCATAACAAAATCTCAAGTTTGAAAAGCGAAGTGCGCTATATTGTGTGCTATAAACACACCATGAGGTTTTGGTTATAGGTTTCATAATGCTTCTGTGTCAAGTTCAGTCTGAAAAGTTTTGTGAAAAAAGTATTGAAGCCTTTTTGCAACAATTGCGTAATTTATCTGTACAGATTGACTGCTGTGTTGCAAGAAATTTAGGGGAGGAGATTGCAAGGACAGCCTCAGGAATCAAGGGAGTGAATACGAGTGCATGCAATTTGGAGTACAGAACATAGCAACTCTGTTGCAGAGGACATCTGCAACTTCTAAAGCTTGGAAATGACCCTGCTGAGCCACACCGTAGTGTTTCTGCTGTGGATGGGCTGTACTACGTGTAAAGGTAAGTTGTTGAATGGAAATCGATGCTTTTTGCTGACGTAGCTGGTGACAATCAAGAAAAATGAACTGCAAAAAACCCCAAACCATAATTAAACTATACCGTTTACTTTTTATGGAATTCCTTTCAGAAGTTTGGAATGAGAGTTGTAATTTAGAACTATGCGTTTAAGAATATTTGCTTTGTATTTTCTTGTATGAGCTCGCTTCTTTGCCTTGTGCCTGAACTTAACGACTCTCATAAAGAACCTAACTTACTACAAGCCATAACTCACTTAAAGTACGTTACTCCATATGAATTCCTTTGTATTTTAATTTAGCTAATATTATTCTGAATACATACTATTAAAGATGCAGAATACTGATCTGATTTTAAAACACCATACAACTCTCAAAATACAGGTACTTTGTTATTTCAATAGTTGTACGATACAAAAAACGTGCTGCCTGAAGGAGGTCTTCACTGAATAGATACCTTTATTAGAATAACCGGTTTTATACTCCATGAGTGATCCACTTAAATCAAGATTCATATCCATCATATCAAGATTCTTCTCCCCGCTCTGCCTTTAAAAGTGCTTTCTTGTATATACCTTACACTTTCAAAAAATGATCCAGCTTCTTTCATTTTAAAATGGTGGAACTAATTTTAGGAGTCCGGGACAAACGGATTTATTTGTAGAATTAAAGAAAATTGAGAGTTGTTGACTGCATGTGTAAAACTTTATTCCAGTATAATGCAGGAAAACAGAAACAGTACTCTGAGAAATTCAGAAGTTTATTCATATTTTCAATTAAAATGTTTTTAGTTCAGTAACTGTTTTCAGTGCAAAGGCTGTGAAAATTAAGTAACGACGATGACAATTTCTGAGAGCGAGGAGATAGTGCTGTTTATTAGTACAGTATATTCCCAGGTGGAGGGATGTAGGTCACTGGAATATTGTTTAACTCCTGTGTAGTGTCATTATTTGCGGCTGTCAGTACTGTCCTGTATCTATCAATTAACAAGAACTTGTGCACGGTTTCTGCTGGAATAGCATGCAAACACCCACCCATCATTGATTTTGAAGATGTTGCTAGTGGGGATAAATCAGGATAAGAAGAAAATGGCAGTGTGCAGTCAAATAACGAGAATCTGTGCACAGCTTCTGCAGGAGCAGCCTGTGAAGACCCACCTCTCGTTGACTTTGGAGAAATCGTTAGTGGGCATAAATCAGGATATAAGGAAAGTGACAGAGTGCGGTACGTGTGCAACCCCGGATACACTTTATCAGGATCAGAATGGGTAACGTGCCATCACAAAATCTGGGTACCTCGACCACCACAATGTTTGGGTAAGTAAGTGTAACTTTTATTGCTGGTTGACTTTGTACTGGTAGACAACCCTGATCGTTCTTAAAATAGGAGTTTCAGAATTAGGTTTACATTTGTTGCTTGATTACCAAGTCTGTAATGGACCAAAATGAACCCCTGGATTCAATCCTCCTTAACTTGTGGATCTTGGGCTTTAGTGTCCCAAAATCACTTACTCTCAATCGTGTTTTTTATTGAGAGAATTTTGCAGCTGTCTGGAAGGTTACGAGCAGATAAACATTTTGTCTGTACTTCCAAGAACTTGTGCAACGAGGTACAGGTACTGACAATGGTGTCAGCCTCTTTCCCCCAGCGATTACATTCGCTTAGGACATCCTTTCATGCAGTTTCCCAGCTGTCGCCCACATGCGGGAGGAGCGCTGTTGTGGTAAGCTGCTTTGCTGTCTTCCATTTCCTCCTTAGAGCTCTTTGTTAGGCGTCTTATAAAATTCACTTTTAATCCTAGGTAACGGAAACACAACAGGCATAAAATTAGACTTACTGCCACTGATTTCATAAATTAATTATTTCAAGGACTACAATCTCCTGAAATCAGTACTTCTTGAGATCATCACTGCTGTTTGCAAAGTCTGTAAAGCTGTCTATTATACACGTGAAGAAGAACGTGCTGGGAAGTTGTGCCATATCACTGACAAACTACCTAAAACTAAACATCCTGAATTAATTATGATAGAGTTCAAGTGTTTAAGTCGTCTGTGTTTTACTTTTAAAAAACACTGCTGAGTGAGAACCAAGCTGGTTTTGCGCTTTCTTTGCTGAGGAGGTGCTTCACATGCTAAAAGCCACCAAAGATTCATACTCCACCAGTTTTAATTTCTCTTGTTTCCCCTAGCACCATGTACCATTACGAAACAGCAACTGGAAGTCCAAAACCTTCTTCTCTCCAATGGAAAAAGACACACATTTTTGATTCAAAGCGGTCAGTGGCAGAAGTTTATGTGCATGACAGGATTTAATCTCACAGCCTCTCCTACCAAGCAGTGTTTTAATGGGCAAATCGAGCTTCCTTCCTGTATCGCTGGTAAATATGCACCATACTTGAATGATTTTGATCTGTCAGCTACACCTTGTGTATAATTTTGCAGTTGTTCATGTACATGAACTGCATCTGCCTGCACTATCAGAGACTGTTTATTCAACGGGCAATTGGTTTTCCCACCACCAATACACTTGCTGACGGTAAGAGTGTGTGTAAATCTAGCACAGAGAGGAAGTCACCAAAATTAAAGGTGCATGATGTGGGAGAATCTCTCCCTTCCTTTTTAATTAAACCAAAAGAGAAATCTTCATTTCAGATGCACAGTTCATCTGATCAATTGTAGATACCTGTATTTGAGCAGAAAAATAAGTCCTGCAGCTACCTGTTTCTCTCCACTTCTTATGAAAGTACTCTTCAGAAAAATCGTCTATGAAACCACTGGTATAACCTACTTTTACATTATGTTTATAAACACAGGTATTATCTATTCCTGTATTTGTGAAAGTATGCATTAAAAAGTGCTACAGTCAGCTCCCTGTCAGGAAGGTTTGTGGTCCACCTGAGGAGTAGCATGCCAGTCAAGATAAGAGGACATAGTGAGTGTTAAAGTATCCAAACCAAAACGAAACATAGGTAATGGCTGCAAGGTTTCTTTCATCGTAGTTATCACAGCTTTAGATTCTTACTTGCAGTTGTGTGTTGGTATATTATGAGCAATCACAGTTTTATTCTACCTGTTATAACCTGTCAAATAAGAAAACGAGGTATTCTTGATTGTTTATGAGTCCTTTCTTGGCTTAAACTTCCCATAACTACAATGATAGTTTTGCCCAGTAGGCACGGCATTAACAAATAAGTAAATAAATAAGCAATTAATTTCATAATCCAGCACTCTGATCTTTGGTCAGTGAAAATAAAAGAAAAACTTAGAGAACAGGAGGTGAGAGAAACCCTGATGAAATCAGTCTTGCAAATGAACCTTTGGATGATTTGAACTATTCCCAAAAAGTGCACTGTTAGTATCTGGATTAATCTTTTCTCTATGTATGTGCGGGTTGTAAAATTCAGGTATCATTCTGAGACCACCTCATTCGTTATTGAATGGTCTGTCCAGCGCCCCAGCAGTTAGGCTCTGGGTCAGAGTGCTTCAGGAGGAACCTACCTGCCGTGGGCCGAGTAGGACACCCTGGGTAAACTTGAATGAAAGCTTCAGGGACTCTCCTCCTTCTATCCTTGACTTGGCCCTGAAAAGGGTCAGTTCTTTTGAGGAACTGCGAGAACAAAAGAGTAGAATACAAAAAAAAAAAAAACAAAAGACAGGCTCCGGTTTATAAATAGTATGTTTTCCTGGCTTCTGCAAGCATAAAGATATCATGAGCTTTTTAGAATAGCATTCTCGTCCTTTCTCAGTTGTTGAAATATTTCCAGTGTCAGTGCAAGACCCTAATCTTAATCACACAGCCTTTGAATGATCAGTTCCTAGTTAAGTATAGTTATTTCTCCATTTAAGACCTGCCAGTGAACCTGCCCTCCTTTGGGACAGTGTCCATAAACCAGACCAGGAGGGCTGTGAGTGAGCCCAGCATAGGTCATTTTGAGCTCCAGCTGTGGAATGACCTACTGGAAAAGATTAGTCAAATTCAGTTTGATCTCCTCTAGTTCTTGCTCCAACCATTCTCTTTGCAATTAAGTTTTAATCTTGTAATTAGCATGACATCAGTAACAGCTGTCACTCTCCTCTTACAGAACCATACATTTCTAAGAGCGGGAGAGAAATGTAGCCTTTTCTTTGCCCTAAGAAACATCTTTTTAACAATTTTATGCAGTTATGGTCAATACACTATGAAAATAAGAACTTATGCAATAAACATAAACATATTCTTCAAATTAGCATCCAATGTTTCTCTTTTCATTTAGAAATTGTGTGCTCTCCTCCAAGAATTCCCAATGGGAACTTTAGACCTCAAGAAGACAACTACGTAGTAGGTGATATAATCACAGTACAGTGTAATCCTGGATATCATTTTAAAGCATTGACTGGCAAAAGCACAGCAGAATGCACCAAGAATGGCTGGGTGCCTGATCCAGGCTGTGTCCGTAAGTAGCTCTCATGAATGAAGACACAATATGTAGAGTTGTTGGAAATGTCTCAGTGAAAAAGAGGTCAAGGGAAAAACTTAAGAAGCATGAGAAATGAGAGTTGCTTATTCATTGTGTTTCTTCATGATGTAAAGCTTAATTTGACGGTTTAGAAAAATCGTCTATGAAACCACTGGTATAATCTACTTTTACATTATGTTTATAAACACAGGTATTATCTATTCCTGTATTTGTGAAAGTATGCATTAAAAAGTGCTACAGTCAGCTCCCTGTCAGGAAGGTTTGTGGTCCACCTGAGGAGTAGCATGCCAGTCAAGATAAGAGGACATAGTGAGTGTTAAAGTATCCAAACCAAAACGAAACATAGGTAATGGCTGCAAGGTTTCTTTCATCGTAGTTATCACAGCTTTAGATTCTTACTTGCAGTTGTGTGTTGGTATATTATGAGCAATCACAGTTTTATTCTACCTGTTATAACCTGTCAAATAAGAAAACGAGGTATTCTTGATTGTTTATGAGTCCTTTCTTGGCTTAAACTTCCCATAACTACAATGATAGTTTTGCCCAGTAGGCACGGCATTAACAAATAAGTAAATAAATAAGCAATTAATTTCATAATCCAGCACTCTGATCTTTGGTCAGTGAAAATAAAAGAAAAACTTAGAGAACAGGAGGTGAGAGAAACCCTGATGAAATCAGTCTTGCAAATGAACCTTTGGATGATTTGAACTATTCCCAAAAAGTGCACTGTTAGTATCTGGATTAATCTTTTCTCTATGTATGTGCGGGTTGTAAAATTCAGGTATCATTCTGAGACCACCTCATTCGTTATTGAATGGTCTGTCCAGCGCCCCAGCAGTTAGGCTCTGGGTCAGAGTGCTTCAGGAGGAACCTACCTGCCGTGGGCCGAGTAGGACACCCTGGGTAAACTTGAATGAAAGCTTCAGGGACTCTCCTCCTTCTATCCTTGACTTGGCCCTGAAAAGGGTCAGTTCTTTTGAGGAACTGCGAGAACAAAAGAAAGACACTATAGTTTTAAAATAAAAATGAGAAGAGCTAGGAAGAGCTTTTGGTGCAGAATCCAGAAAGTTACAAATGAAAATGGTGACAGGAGTCATTTCAATTTTAAGAGTCCACAGTTCAGTGTCTATACCTGAGCTACCTGTCTGGGCTCCCATCATGGCCAGTATAGTAAACTTAGTCAAGACACTCTACAAAAACAGTGTCATCCCACCGTAGAATAAATCCTTACATTTGGTCTCATGAATCAGCCTTTGAAGTCCACTGAGAATATTAACTGGGTTTCTGATGGTTGCAATGGAAACGGAGGGAACCAACAGAGGCATAGGTAATGACAAAGTCACCAGAAGCAGAGTGCAATTGTTCCTGCACTCCTTAGGATCTGCCAAGGTGTGCAGTCCCGATTCTGTCCGTTTCAGAAAACACTCAGATGATGAAGCTGCATCTGAATTAATTGTGTCCTGACCTTTTTGTCATGCATGTGTTGATATTGTTGCTGTTAAATTCTATTTCAAGAGAAACCATGTGACTACCCAGCTATAGAAAATGGCAAGTTAAGTGAAAGCATGGAGAACTACAAAAGCTATTACTTTCCAATGAAGTTTGGGCAGCAAACTCATTACTACTGCAATAATGGTTATTCAACCCCGAGTGGAGAATTCTGGGTTCTCATGGTCTGTTCTGAAAGGGGCTGGTCTCCAGAGCCAAAATGCCTCAGTAAGTACATTTCCACTTTATGCTCAATTATGTTGTAACTATCAAAGGTCTGTGCAGCAGAAATTGTGCCGATGGAGCACAAGACGGAGCAAAGAACAGTTTGTTAAAGTAGAACTGCTGTAGTTGACCCCTGGAACTGCACCCAGACTGTCATCCTATATGCAGAGCTCAAACTGTCAGCTGGTAAGTGACACTCTGAAATGAGTAAGGCTGAAACGATGCTTTTGGGTTTTGGAGATTCTTCACTCCTGAAACTATCCATAAGATTAAGAAATACATTGGAAGTGTTTCTCTTCTCTGGCTTCTGTGTCACGTGCATGCATCTACTTTCATCTGCACACACAGCTGCACATACAAACAGAGAGTTTCTACTCCATGTAAATATAGTCTTCCTTCTGTGGCTTGGGCACTTTGTCTAGAGGTTCCTCTCCGAGATCCATTGCCTGGTCCCTTTGGATAACATGTGGGGCTGAGAAGTTGGCACACTCTTGCAATAAGCTGAAAGTGAGCATGGCATCAGCAAGAGATCCAGGTACACTGACCTAATGATTGAACTGTAGAAAATAGATTTACAGCAGCGAGCTGAGGCCTCCTCTCCTAACACACATCTTCAGTCACAGAAAAGTTCCTACCTACTGGTAGGGCTTGGAAGTGGATTACAAAAGGTTGGTCTTTCCCTGTTGCCCTCAGTGGAGTGGTGCTCAGTGCAGGAAACGAGTGGAGTCCTGCCCAGAGGAAAGGGCCAGTTACCCAAGTAACACAGCTATAGCATTCCTTCAGGCATCTTCCTTGTGTCTGGGCTCTTGGGGGCACAGGATGCTGTAGAGCCAGCGTGCTTAGCTGTTGCTAAAATCTCTAGAGCTGGTTTGAGAGGCTGATACATTTGCACAGAGATGATGAAAACTTCTGGAGGCGAATGCTGAAAATCACTCAGGGCAGACATCAACATTTTAGAGACACAGCAGATCAAACCAGAGCTGGTGTACATGATGCTAGATGCGCTGAAGGTAGCCAACCTTGCTTATGAACACGAGGTAAGCGATATTGTTTACTAGACCACTTCTTAGCACTTCATGTAGTGACTTACACTCCTGTTCATGCGATTCATTAATCTTAGGGCAGTGAAACAAGACATGCTTTCATTCAGGTTTGAGAACGAATGTCTTTTGTGGATAGAAGGATACAGAAAGGCGCTAGGAGGCCCTTTTTTAGTAACTGTTCCTAAGAATTATTTTACCTCAGTTCCTGATGTACAAATTACTGTGGTTAAATGTAGTTACCTTCCTTCTTTAGAAAAATGTCATGTCAGACGGATGGCAAATGGTTATTTCTCACATAACCGGAAGTATGTTTACAAGGAAGGTGAAAGAGTTAAATATGTCTGCAACGATGGCTATCATACTGAACGTGAAGATGGGGAAGTCACGTGCACAAAGGATGACTGGTCACCTCCTCCACGATGTGTCCGTAAAAGTGAGTGTGCTTGTATTTTGTTGAGGTTTCTAGCTAAAACCAGTAAATCCACCGTCACATCACCTACATTAATCCATAAGCGCTGCTTAGTAACTGTAAGTCTAGGTGCTCTACAACTGAAACACAATGCTGTGATTCTCTCCACTGGCTCATGCAGCTCTCACGTCCCTGTATGCTGCTGAGGTCAGTCACTGTGCAAACATGGAGAATGTAACCCTGTAAAACGTCCACACGTGGTTCATTCAGATCTCCTAGAATGTAAGCTCTGGGATGGGAGTCATAGTCCCTTTGTCTTCAGTAGTGAAATCTTGTTATAACATAGCTGTGCAGTTAATCATTCCCCTTGTGCAGCCTATCTGTAATTTCTTGTCTCCTTTCAGCCTCTCGCTATGCCACCTGATCCCTGTTTGCCTTGCTTCCTTTCCGGTTGGCTGGAAGCTGGAAGCGGGGAGGAATAGAAAGGTTACTTCTCCTAACTCAGCTTTGGTTCCTGACTTGCACCAAGCCTGAAATTGCTAGAATGTCTCCCAGGAGCTTCGTGCTCGCTAGGATAAAGATGTCTGAGTTGATAAGTTGAATACAGGTGCCACCTGAGTTCAGAAAATTGTTTCAGACATAATTTATTAATAAAAGATGTTTTATGAAGACTTTTCACCTTGGCTTACATAACTCTACAGGAGATGTATATGCCTGGTACCAGAGTGCAGTATGAAAGTGAAATAAATTTTCAGATTATGGGTGTAAATTATGTTTGTAAATTTGCTCATCAGGAATAAATATTTGGGGTTTTTAAATTTTATTCTTTCTTGACTTTTTTCCTTTTCTTTTTGTGGCTTCTTCCTGCCTGCCTGATGAGAAGAGAGTGAGAATTTTGCCGCCTGTGTTGGAGAACAGAGCCCACAGCTTCCCGGCTAGCTGACATTCAGATAATGCAGATGATGCATTGCTATATTGAATACCATTCAAATGCATTGCTATATTGAATACCATTCAAAAATGCTGTACAGCACCAGCCTGCACATTTGGCTGATCTCTGCAACTCCTTTTCTCTTTTTAGTCACTCTAGGCAAAAATAATAGTGTCTGGTGAAGCGTTGCAGAATAAAGACCGTGATATCTTCCTTTTCTACCTGTATGAAATGATCTGCATTACGCAAACCATTTTTGCTCATCAGGAACAATGGTGCTGCGGAATGCAATATCCTGTGATTGTCGTATTGCTGCACTACTGTTCTTAAGTGTTCTTAATGTTCTGAAACCTCTCTTTTCAGATGTTAGCTGTGGAGCCGCACCTGAAATTCCCAATGCTTATATTACAAGCACTCACCAGGAGAGGTATCTGCCCAGTGCCAGAGTGCAGTATGAATGTGAAAGCAATTTTCAAATGATGGGTGGAAATTATGTCACTTGTAGAAACGGAGAATGGTCACAAGCACCAATCTGCAGAGGTAGGAATCCGTGCTTTCATCTTGCCTGTTAGCATAGAGGGGACTGTTTGTTCACCTAAATACTCTAAAGACTCTTTACTTTTTTTACTTCTGTTTTCATTGTACTTGCTATTGCTTCCTTGCACAGCATTTTAATTTAGCTTGATGCTTCTAGAAATACTGTGGGTATTTTCATCAACAGCAAAAACGTCTTGAAGAAGCAGGGCCTAAAATGTGCTGCTCTGTCATTCTCCTGTCTGGTACTGGTATTTCCCCAGAGTCCACCATTTCAGCGACCTTCAGGAGAAAGACATGTAAGGGCTCCTCTGTTCTGTTCAAACCTGTCAGGGAGTAGCTGAATGGAAGAAGCGGTAGGGGAGAGAAAGAGCTGTTCTTCTCCAGGGCTCCACCCTGACTGATGCAGATCCCAGCAGAGACTCAGATCTAAACCATGTAAGGTCTGCTAGGGCTGTGGGCGTGGGAAGAGCGTTCCTGTGACAAGGAGCTGTCAGGAGCTGTGCTCCTGTCCCCTGCCCAAGCCTGTGGCTGCAGGGTGAACAAGTGCTACTTGGCTTTCACACACCTCCATGGAGCTGACTGCACTTACCCATCCCCGAGCAGTGCAGGCTGACAAGCTCCTCCAGCGCTGCCGGTCCTGCAGAGCTCTGTGATTCAGCAGAGCGCCAGCTTGGCTGCTAGCCCTGTGATTTCCAGGAATGCCAGGGCTCCCTGGGGAGGGACATGGGCACGCAGGAAGGCTGGTGTGGCTTCTTGTGCTGTGAGGTGTAGCTACAGAAACACTGGCTTTTTCTAGAAGCTCTCATTGACCCTGCCATCTCTGGAGAGTCCCAGAAAGAGTGTTCTGCTGCCACTGTCACACCTCGTTGCTTTCTCCATGGTGAACTCTTGGAGCTGTTACCCACCTGAGGCAGAAAATCTGGACAGAAATTGTAACAAGATTGATTTCTTTAACTGTTGGTTGTATAGGGGAACACCTCAGCGACTGCAAACGTGACTGCAGCAGTGTCTCTTTTCAGATGTGACATGTGAACCTCCTCCAGAAATTGCGGGTGGTAACGTTCAAGGTGTGAAAAAGTCAAGGTATTTGCCTGGGGAGAGTGCTCGCTATCAGTGCTGGCAAGGTTTTCAGATGACTGGGACTTCCACCGTAGCATGTCAGAATGGGACCTGGACAGAGCTGCCCAAGTGCAAAGGTAATTTCTCTCTGTCTTCATACAGTTGCCTGTCAGTGAGACTGTCATGAAGCTGACTCAGTGGCATTTACTTCTCCACATTTCAGTCTCATTACTGTGCACAAACGCAACATATCTGGCACACTCAGGAAAAAGGCGTTTTCCCAGGTATCTATTCAGATGAGTTTACCAGCTGAGTGACCCAGGTGGCTTCACTCAAGAGGGCCCCATCTGGAAAACCACCCTGAGGCTGAGAGCAGTTGCTGGCCAGGTCTAATTTTGAGATGCAACCCTTGGACTTCTTAGAATATACTTTCTGTGCCTGCCTGATGAGAAGAGAGTGAGAAATTTTGCCACCTGTGTTGGAGAACAGAGCCCACAGCTTCCCAGCTAGCTGACATTCAGATAATGCGGATGATGCATTGCTATATTGAATGCCATGGAGTGAAATCAACCGTTAAATCAACTGAGGGTAGAGTCTGATGTGTGAGCCAGTACCTAGGTACGGTGTTGGTGCCTCCTAGGATTTCATGAGCGCGCTGAATGATCTCATTTGTTTTCATTAGACATAGAGAAAGTTTCAGCACGTGAACCAGTGCAGCAGCATCTGACTCAAACACCACCCAGCTGGGAGCTGAAAGGGGTGCAGAAACAGCAGATGAATTCAGACCAGGCTCCATATTGTGCCTCCGGAACACAATGCCAAGTGCAAAGAGTGTCACTGCTGGTGCCAAGGGATCTGGGTCTTCTCTGAAGATTTCCCAGTGCAAGGTCCGTTGGAAGGCCAGACTTGGCAGCAGTGTGGTGCTTGAATAGGTATAAAAATCCGTGAGGCAGCGATGCTTCAGGATTGGCATGTGTGAACTCCCCAGTGGCCGTAAGTGGCCCACAGAGCCCAAGGGCTATGCCATTAGTGATTGCAGCGGTGCAGTTCAGTGGCAGTCGTTACTGTTTGCAGTCGGATCCACTTTTCTCAGTGCTCAAGCAGTACAGGGAGGAGGTGGGTGTCAGGCTCTTCTGCAGAAAGAGCTGTGCCAAACGCTACACCGTTATGCAGGACGAGAGGAAGTCCTGCAGGCAGCTGCAAGCACTTCAGCCGTGGACAAACGGGGTGAACTGGTAGCTGTGAGTCCCAGCACTGGAGAAATGAGAAACTCTTGCTCTTTTTCACCTGCCAGGTATTTGGTTTTCCCTCTGCTTTCCTCCAGGTCTCTCATAGTGCCAGTGTACTGTCCGGTCATATTTGTGGCCAGGCCTCTGTTGCAATTAAACTCTCACGGCTTTCTCTCTGACTGGGAATTTTCTTCCAGGGAAAGGTGGGAAATGTGGCCCGCCTCCAGTTATTGAAAATGGAGACCTTCTTTCCTTCCCCATGCAAGAATATCCACAAGGTACAACTCTGGAATACAAATGCCCCAGTCTCTACGTCCTGGAAGGATCTCGGTATATCATCTGTACTGGCGGGCAGTGGACAAGCCCCCCAGTTTGCCTAGGTAGGTTGAAGCACGTGCTGTGTGGCCAAAGGCTGTGTGATTGCTCCTGTTTTCTTTTTCTCAGATCCTGAGGGCATCACTTGTGCAGCAGCACTTGTGCTGGGGCTGCGATGCCGGCAGGGCAGAACAACGACGAGTCCTTCTTCTGTCCAGAAGGAGTTTCTTCCTGAAGTTTGCTTCTGTAGTCCCCTCTGCTGCCTGCTGTCTCTCGCCACCACGGCGGGTTTGGGAGGAGGGGAGTTTGGCTGAACACCCCTGTGTGAGGGGATCGCCACCACTGTGCAGGGCTCCCGAGTTGGGGACGCTGCTACGGTCAGCAGGCTGAGGGGGGGGGGGGCGGGGGG